GCTATATAAATAAAGGTGACTTGACTTGACTTGAATGAAAGCCTAATAGGGCTGGGTGAATGCCCCCAACTGCCGACAGAGCTCCCTCCAGAATTGGACATTTTAAACCCCTGTAAGGCATTTTAAACCCAAAATATGCTGATTAAAGAAATTTCTATTTATTAATCATGAATCTCACTATAATCTTAATGATGGTATTCCAGACTTTTCCCTTGCCTCAGTGTTCAAACAGTTTTTGCATGAAGAATGTGTAAATCTTTCTTATTTCAAGATCATTTTTATTTGCTGCAGCCCGTCAGAAGCTAATGCATTTTTATGAGCCCTCTTATTTTGTTCTGCAAGGTGCACTGTACTGTTTATTAACCTTTACTGTAATGACCACAACCGCATGATACCTGCTAATAAGTGCATTTATGACTGACTTTTAAAATGTGGCAATAAGGAAGCATAGCCTGTGTAAACAAGGCTCTCCCCCTCCCTCTCTCCATCTCTTTTTGTTCCTGTCCCGAAATGACCCCTTATACAGTGAAAGCAGTGCTTTACAGTAACTTTATCACAGGTAGTTACGCTATTCAGAGGCTGATTTCCCAGAAAAGCTTGTGGTCCTATTAAAACATAGTTTGTTTGAGTGCCCCTGCCAGCCACACATAGAAATCATTGTGTTGTTTAAATTTAGGAAGTTATTGTTTGACCACTGGCAGTATTCAAAAAACACCTGTTCTAACAAACAGTGTGGCTTGTTATTTTTATAATGGTAATAATAAATCATTATTAAATGTAATATCCATAATAATGAATAATTCTCCCATGTAATCAATATCACAGAGGCTGCCATTAACTAATTATGAAAACTTTTCATTTCAACCTTTCCTTTTCCTCCAGTTATTTCACTTTTTTGTGTTGCTTGTTTTGGATGTGTACTGTACAATAATATGGTATACAGTTGCCCCACATAAAACTAAAAGTATTTTAATGTAAATTATGTTAATCAAAATGAACAATCGTGATTACAATATCAAAGGAAGTACCTGACATAATAGTGTTTGAGACTTGTGCGGGTGTGTCTTACTTTGCAGATATTCTAGAAGGCTCCCGTTGCTCATGAGCTCTGTGACGATGTAGATGGGCTCTTCCGTAGTGCAGACAGCATAGAGCTGGATCAGTTTGGCGTGACGGAGTTTCTTCATGATCTGAGCTTCTCGCAGGAAGTCTTTTGGATCCATAGTTCCTATCACAGATACAACAGACGTACAGTACAGCATGCCATGTTCATGTATGTTTGGAGTTGTATATGTGTATCCATCTTGTCTCTGTTTGTGTGTGTACCTGGTTTGAGTGTTTTGACAGCGACGGCTGTGCTGTCATTCCATATGCCTTCATAGACCTGGCCAAACTGCCCTGCTCCCAACTTCTTCAAGAGTTTTAGAGAGGAACGTGAGATCTCCCACTGATCCACAGTGTTGTAAGATAGACCATGTGTCTCTGGAGCCATTGTCTAAACCCCACACACACAAAAGCAAGGAAGTAGGCATTGGATTGAATATTTGATAATATCCTGTTCAGTTCTGTAGTCAGTTGCTGTGTTCTGCGGCCAAAGATTTTTGTACAATTTCACCATTGTCTCACATTCTTTGAACATCTTGTTTTATTAATTTAGGTATCAAGTGAGACAAAGTACAGTCAGCCAATTATTGTTGTGTAATAAACCCTTGAATATTTTTTTTTTATTCAGAAAAATGATTGATGTAATAGTAAATGTTACACACTTTTTTGCAGGGTCCTGCCAAACGAACACAGAGGCCATCCTCATTTCTGTAGTGCTCCACTAGTTCTTTCAATGTGAAAAAACTACGAATCCTTGACACGAAGTAGCCACCATTATCTTGCCTTCTGATCTTATAATGCTTCACTTTTCCGTTGTCCAGCACTGCAATACAGACAGACAGCACATCAAGGACATAATGAAAGATGGGCTAATAAGTAAGAAAATAGCCCTTTTCCACCGTAGAGCAGTAACAGTACTACTAGCATTTCCATTAGAATGTGGTTTGGTTTGGTATAGTACGATTGCAAACCATGCACAGATATCTCATCAAGTTTAACAACCTGAACTCTGGACAGGAGAACTACACTGAAAAAAAATGGTAACCTAAAAAATTGGCTTCTTGTGGTGACATCTAAATAAACTAATTTTATTTTATATAACAGAATCAACTAAAATATATCAGGTTACACCAACAAAACAAAATTTAAGAGTAAGCTCAGGTACAGTAGAAATAGCTTTTAATGTAACAATTGCAGGTTACCACTTTTTACAGTGGATCCGTGCAGAAATACTGTGGGGGGTGTGCGATATGTATCATCTTACATTTTATACACAATATTGGCTGTTTTTGTTCTATTTCGCCAACGAAAATTCCAATCAAAGCCACAACAAATCTGTTGAGCATCTCCGAGAAACA